GTATATTTATATAGGCTTTGCTATGATTCTGTTCCTATACAAACTAATTTAACCAATAGAGTTTTAGCTAGCATAACAATATTGCTTTTTGTTCTTGTCAAGAAGTTTTCCTTGCTGGCTTAAAACAAGTGCATGGCTAATGTTGAGCTATGGTCCTGCAATGTGATAAATTGGGCTATTGCTAGCAGCTGCACAAATCCCCACAGACCTCTGGGAAGGCAAATGACTACAGTTGCAGACATCAAGTTGCTGGATTGGGGCCCGAGTCTTGCTTGGCAAGTCCTGCAGTCGATGGACTATGTACATGGCAGCTGGTATTGCTGATAGGCAGCTAAGAATTTTTACGACCTAATGAGGGGATGGAAAAGAGTGTTGGTGTTCAGCGACGTTGAATATATTTTTCAAGCTCATGTCATATGATTCATCTTTGAGGGAAAATGCACACAGCAGTGGTTTTTTATGCAGTTTATCGTCTACAGCAACTTTATGTTGATACATTTAAAATGCATATTTAGCTCTCTGAAAGAACATTAAAGGAGATATTTGATTTAATGTTTATATCACATTCAGTATTGAGTATTCCTTCTATCTGTCAATTTTCAGATAATTTTAACTAAAGCAATATTGTGTTAATTCACTAACATGTCTCTTCCAAGGGCAGATGAATAATCAACTGTCCAGTGGCACATGCTATGTCCTATTCCATATATATTAGCATTCTGCTGCTTCTCTGTATTTTCCCATAATTTATTCCCTGTGGTTAACTCGGTGGTCTCCGCCTTGGTGTAGATTTCCTCTTGTAATCTATGTCTATTTGTTAAAATTTTGTTTAGGCAGAGAAATACGGAGCAAATACAGAAAGTCTTTTAAATTTAAAACAGGCAAAGCTTGTCTGATAAAAACTCTTTCAGTAGAATTTCATCTAAAGATAAATGTAGGTAATGTGTGAATCTGACATACATGATGTACCTGACATTTAGAAAAAGGATTTATCACATGCCATAAATGACTTCTCAAAATAACCAAAACTTTTTTAAAATATATTGTAATGTAAATACATTTTGTAAAACCACAAGGTGTTTCTCAGTTTTGTTTTCAGCTAGCTTTGATGAAAACATTGGCATCCTATACCTGAGAGTCAACAGTTACAAACTGAATTCAGCAAAACATTTCAACAGACAAGGAACATTAAGGTGTGCCATAAACAAAGAGGAAATATTTAATATTAGGAATGATCTTTGTCACCCAGACACAAACCAAGAAATTATTTGATGTATGCTGCTTATTAGCTTATATTGTTAACCAGCACCTACTTTCAATTTTATTAGTGTGTTTGGCTACAAAAAAACCCAGCCATCATAGCCTGAGTTCAAGACATGAATTTTTTCAAGTATTCATTTCAAGACTTAATGCATCAAAACATGTCCAGATATTTAACACATTACTAATATATAATTTTTAGGTTAATTTTATATAGAAGAAATTTCTAAAACTTTGTGAAACTCCTCGTACAATTTTCCAGATGTGTTTCATTTTCAGGACAGCTGTTATATTTTACGGCCGCAGTGGAATTAAGCCATCACTGAGGTTACTGTACAGGACAGTCAGAACAATTGCTTCAATGCACTTGAAGGAGGGACTGTATCTCAAGAGTATCTCTAGAAACTGTTTATACTCAAAATATTTGTGCTCTGAACATGTAAAAGATCAAAGTTATTTAGATCACACATTAGGCTCCTTTTTCCCTTAAAAGTTTTCCTTTAATCTTAATGCCCCAAAACAATTTATACAGCAGCAAAATAATGCCTATTTGCAAGCTTTAGGTAGCTAGGCTACTGTGCTATCAAGAAATTTGTTCCCTTGAAATGTTCTATTTCACTGTGTTTGAAAATATCCAGTATTCTGGATTCTTCACATGTGGTGAACGTGTGTTTTAAAGTGAAGTGCTCTTTTATGCATACCCTGCTTTCAAGGTAGTGTCATGTTTCACTGTTTCCACATGACTCAAATTAAAATGATTTCCTAAATCTTGCGAGTGGGCTAATATTCTTTTCAAGTGAGTGGCAAATATTAGTACAACAGACTATATGTAATCATGCATCATAGAAATGGATGAGTCAAAATTTGAGTTTAGATTAACTCTATACATTTCAGGAGTGATTTAAAACTCTATTTTATCATAATTACCTCAAGGGAAGTTTGATTAGGTAGAAACATGCAACGCAGTCTTAGAGAAATAAAAAGATTAAATTAAGACAATAGCTTTAAAACATTCAGTTCATTGCATTCAGTATTCAAATAGGCTTGCGTGATTATCTTACACTCTTCTTTGATTATTTCTTAAATTACTTTAGAAACTGAAATGCTGGTTCATTGCTGTTCTAAATTAAATGACTTTATAAAAAGTAGCACAGAAATCAGATGGCATCAGTTTTATTTGACTAGTAAAATTTTGGTAATTTGTTTCTGTGTGTTCTCTGGTCAGTATCAAGGACTGATAGAAGAAGATTAAATTTCAAATTAAATATGCTTTGCTTTGTCACAGGAAGTGGAGAGAATATTGGAGAACTGTATTTTCATCTATAACATTTTTAAACAAAAAACTGATAACTATTACACTGGGATTTCAGGGGTAAGTGGGGAATGATAAGACAGAACTAAGGATTTGGTAGTAAATTTTATATGAAAAAGGGTGTTATTTTTCAACAGTAATGGTTAGGTTTATAATAGACTTCTTTCTACGTTAAATGCTGAGGAACAGTGTCCCACTTCGAATGAAAGGAAATTATTGTGAGTGCTATAAAATATGTCTGGGTTGTTTTTGCGTGTCCATTTTTAGAAACCGTTTGAACTTTTCAGAAACACTTCAAATTTGATTCTGAATGCAACACAATTGTCAGGAAAGGGGAGCTTTACAGAATGGTTTCAGAATGTGTCATTTCTCCTTGATTCAATCTGAGACAAAGTGTATCTGTGTGGGAGATGCTAGTGCTTTGAAAGGCTGAGAAGACTTGTTACTATTTCAGATATTGCCTAGCCTGGAATTAAGCTTTTACAGTAGTTGTCTCTATTGCAGCACTAGATAGACTCATCGTTTTCCAGACGCAATCCTTTCTGAGTTCTGGAAAATGGTTGTTTGGCTTTGTCTCAGTCTGGGTGCACGAGCTAAGCTAGCAAAATGAAAAATTAAGCCGTATCAGTTTCTGTGGGTTAACAACAATTTAATTTGGTTTCTACATTTAAATTCTGTTAAAAATCTACGGTAAAAGTTTGTATTTGACTCGAATTACTTTCATTTTATTTTTAAATACCGTGAATCTGTGGTATTAGTTTGCTGTTTGGTTTCGATATTAATATCCAATATGCACTATGTTGGTGTCATTTATTTTCAGTGGTAAATAACCGCTTAACTGATTTCATTCACATGGCATTTACCAGATGAGGTCTCAGTAGTCTTGGTATTACAGCTTGGTATTACAGTTCGAAAAATAGGTGGTGAAAAGTATGTTTAAGCATCCAAATAAAGATCTTCTAAGGTAACAATAGTTGTGACAACTGGCAAAATGGGGATATGCAGGAAATTTGAAATAATATGCTAAAGAAGACCACTGATATTTGCTAGACTTTGAAGAGTGGTCTGAATTTAGCCTCAGACACACCAAGATTTTAATACTTTGCTTGCCCTTTTGAAAAGCTCAGTATAGTGGTTACTTTTGGATTAAATTTACACTTCTTTTCTCATTGTGCTGTGGCTTTTCTCTAAACTGTAGTTGATACTGTACCATAGCTCAAAGGTTGCAAACAGTTTGGGAACAAGATGTCTGTCTGCCCTACAGCATGACAGAATTGGCCACAATTGCAGATGTTACTGATAACAAAAGCCAACAACATAAAATGTATAGAAAAACAACACGTTAAAGACTATAAGACCACTAAAGTTCTTTTTTGTGTGTTTTTAACTCATTCTGTAACGATGAAAATAAAAACACATGAAAAGAAAATGTCTTTCTTTATCAGGTGCTTTGTGATTAAAACATTTCTAAATGAAATGGTTAGGCTGCCTGTCTGAAAGCAAATGCTACTGACATTCACATGTTACAAATATAATTTAAAAGCTCTGCTTCATCTGCTAGAAAGCTATGATAAAGCTAGCATCTGTATCTAAAATGAAGTTCAATGTCCTGCTCTTTGTATTTTTCTTTGATTTTTTTTTAATTGCTAAAAGGAGTTTTGTTTAAGCAGCAACCTTTGAATCTGACTAGCTGTGATTACATTTGTTTTATTGCTTGCAAAGTGTAGTTGTGCCAGTGAATAATTTCTGTGAACTTGTGTGTCTCTTTAATCAAACCACTTTAAAAAAGTAGTGAACGAATTTTCATGTTAAATGTATATATTTTGCTTCATAAGAAAGAAGGAATAGGACGGGATCTAATATGATTCAGTGTTCATACCCATGGCAGTTTTCCTTATGAGACATATTAAGCTTTGTGAATCAGTGTTCACAGCTCCTGTAACTTATTTTCTGAAAGCAAGAAAATCTTTTTATCTGCTAGAATGCCGTGTTCCTTGTCTTAATAAATCAGGTTTAGAACAGAAATTAGGATGAGGTTTTTGTTTTTGTTCTACTTATTTAATCTTTGTTTTTATAAATAAATACAAATAACTCAAACTGAAACTTGATGGCTTTGGTGATAATACAAGAGCAGCCCCGGGGAAATTTTGTATATTAACATGTTCTTTCACAACCCACACTTGAGTTTCGGTAGGAAAAATGTTTAACCTTTGCAGTAGCAGTAGCAAATACCTTTTGAAGTCCAAACATGCTAAAATATTGGGTTCACAATTAAAACATTATTTTGAATTGCAGTTTGGTTCTATTTTAGGATTTGTATGCAGATGAACAAATACTATTATTACTTGAATAGATTGGTTGAAATTCTAAGTGGCCCTTCCTTTCATGCTAAGATATTTCTATTTTTCTGCTACTTCTTTTAATATAGGATTACAGAATGTTATGGTGGATACCTAGCTTGATGACTGTCTTTGTAAGAACCTGGGCACAGGAGTAGGAGAGTAGCCAACATTTATCACTTGGGAGTAAGTTTAATTTGCTTTATATGCACAGTCCTGTTTATATGCACAATCTTGCCCCCTGTTTTGTTTAGATTTTGATCGATTTGTTTTATTTTTCTTGTAATTCCTTATGTGTGACTATTGGAAAACTGTCCTGCGGGAACTGAAGTCAAGCAATCAGCTAAAACTTTTGAACCTGGGAAAGCCAAAAAAGCAGAGCTTTCTGTGAAGAGGTCAGCATTATCCTACATGATTATATTTATTGCTTATATATTATGATAGCGGGGCCCTGCGTTATTCCCAAAATGAACAGATATTATTAGCATATTCCTCTGCTTATCTTTGGTGATTAGGTACAACTGTGGCTTCTGCTGCTGTAAAGAGGATAAACATCCTGGTGTCTCTGGCAGGGGCAGTTTCAGATTTTATTATCCTGTGTTTGCATTTTATAACTGACCATTCTGCAAAAAACTTGCTTCATGGAACAACCAAAGAACTGTAGCCTCCTACTCAAATACTAACAGAGTTCTTATTCTCAAGTAATTTTGTACTGGAATTATCCACTTCTTTATTAAATTCTATCAGTGGCATTGGATGGAAAGCAAAGAATTATAAAAATGGGGGGGAGAGGGGGGAGGGAGAGAGAAAAGAAAGAGAGATTAGTGCTTTTGTGCACAACAAATTTGTACTTTTACCAGCTATCTTACAACATACTGGTTTTTAGCATTTGCTCACTTCCTGTATGAGGTTAGTTTGTTTATCATAAAAAACTATTTTTAAACCTATTTCTGCCAATAAGTAATTTGAATGTTTGTCAGTCCCCTAATGATGTTTCACTTTGATTCATGGGAAGGCACTGCAGATATTTCTACACAAAGCGTGGTCTCGGTCATAATCCCAGGAGGAAAGCAGTAACACGGCTGTCTGCTCCTATCCGATTAGTTTCTGCTTGTGTCAGGGTCAGCCGTGCCAGGGTTTCCAGAGAAATGTGATTTTCAGATAGGATCTCCCCTACCCTTGGGCCGGAGTGCCTCAGCCACAGTGTTCTGGGCAACACAGAGGCCAAGAGAGTCCTGTTGCAGAAATTACTGCCCAGTGTCCTCTCAAGGGCTCGAGCTGCTGCTCCGCAGGGGAAAGAGCCACAGGACTCAGTGCTGATTCCAGCAGCATGATAGTCACCTCCCTGTATGGACTTGAGTATCTATGGAAGTCAGTAGCTGTATTCCAGCCCCCTACCACTTTGCTCCATGCTGTCTCCAGATCCCTTTTCACCCTTTTCCATATAGACCACCATATGTATTGCTCCTACGTGTAAGGATGGGAAGACATACAGGTAGATCTAGGCCCCAAGATAGCTGAAACAGGCTGTGAGTGAGCGCTCTTCCCGGCCCTGGCAACAGCACTATGGTCTGACCACATGTGGAACTTCTGGATATGACTACTGCTTGCTTCAGCACAGATTCACTTTCAGCAGAACCTGCCCAGAAATCATATTTACACAAAAGGGAAGAAGAAGTACAGAGAAAAATCTAGCTGGGAGGGTCAACAGAGATAGAGAGCAAGAGAGAAGGGGAGCAGCAGGAAAATGGAAATATTTTATCCTTGACCTTGATGCTCCAGAGAACAATCCCAGGTAAATAACTTGAGGTGCTCCAGATACCTCTGGCTAGTACAATACTGTCATTGAGGCTGAGCATGTTTGTCTGAAGGGTCTGGTAACTATTTAGGGCTTCCCATGTCAGTCAGCTAGCCAGTTAACTAGCTGGGGCAGAGCTTGTTAGCCAGAGACTCAAGGCAAGTACAGCAGCCGAGGCAATTTGCTCAGACTGGGCTGCCTCACTGGGGCCTCTGACACTTACCAGCCCTGCTAAGGAGAGGTTTGTCCTGCCCAGTGGGAGGGCAGTCAGGATTGTGGAGTAGACATGAAGTGTAGCCAGACCCAAGAAGGGCCCATTCTCCTGCTCCTTCTCCTGAGCTACACAGCAGTAGCTGCTTGGAGGTCCTGGCACTCCCTCCTCTGTAGGCTTTCATTTGGTGCCTTCACGAGTGTGTAATGGGGTGCTGATGGGTTGGAGGGCTTTGAGGGGGGCCTCAGAAATTCAAGGCTGGTGTGTAGCCGGCACAGAGCTCTGTATGCCCCTTGGCATTTCTGCCTCTGGCAGTGGTCTGTTGGGAAGTATGGCTTGCAGAACGGGGCAACCCCCTCCCCCACCCCTGGCTGTTTGGGGTGGCCCAGGTATGCCCTCTTGATGTCACTCAGCTGTTTCCCAGTGCTGTGAGCCTGGGCCAGGAGACTCTGAAAGGCAACAAGGCTTTGCCTGCTACATACCATGCCAGAGGGGAGGGCGATTCCAGGGCAAGCCAGTCTGTGTTGCTCTAACTTCTCTGCCCCCTTGCATAATACTTTATCAATGCCAGGATGTCCTTCTAGTTAGTCACGGGGTGAGGAGAATATGCTAACCTCCCGCTGAAGCCATGGGAGGAAGGAAAAGGTGGCAAAAGAAGTCCAGATGAGTCCTGAAGCAGCACAAAGTCCTTTTAGGAAGGGAAGTACCCCTGCAGCAAAGACCACCCCACATGATGCATCATTGAGCCAGCTTTCCCTCAGGCAGGGCAGGGGCCTTAACAGGGCAACCAAGAGCTTCAGTATTTCTACAGCCTTTTACTAGGCTCAGAGGAGGGAGATGATGTGTTTGTTGGTGGTGACAAGGGGCCAATCTGCATGGGCAGAATTACCGCCTCTAAGTATGTACCTACGCAACTTGTTCTGCTCCTTCCAGCTGGCCTCCTTTCTATCATGGTAGGGGTATCATTGTGGGCCAGCCACCTTCAATTCTGAGCTGCCTAGTTTAGCCTGTAGACCAGATCATACAAGATGTTTTTACACATGTTCTGGGGGTGGAGCTTTAATTAGAGTGGCTCCAAGAGCTACTCTAATTAAAACACCCTCAGCATCTTTGGATATCAACATCCCTGGGCTTTAAAACGGCAGTAAGGGTGCTTAACTAAAGTTCGTTCAATGAGCTTTAGTTAAAGCACCCATGCCACCATTTTGAAGTGCAGGGATGCTGATACACGAGATGCAGAGGCTGGCTGGAGTACGCTAATTAATTAGCATGCTACAGCAGACTTGATACATCAGGGATCAGGTGCTGTCCCCATACCCCAATCCCCCTGCAGTAATGGGAAGCAAGCAGGGATGGGGACCACTGGGCAAGGCAGCGGGAAGGAGAGAGGGAGGCATTTTGTATCCTAACAGTGTCCTGACCTGTGAGGTGCAGGATGGGGATGGGCTATCTTGGCTGGCTACCTCCCCACAATCTTTATCTAGGCTGTAGTGGAAAACACCAAAGGCAAGATGGCGTAAAGTGAGTGGTCATGTGACTCTACTACCTCCATTTCCACTTGCACTGAAAACACCCGATGAAAGAAGAGGGTCAGGCTTACACGGAGGACAATTATCCATTCATTTGCCTTGCCTGTGCATCTGAGGAGATTGCCTAAAATGACCTCTCTTTCAATAAGCACCCCAAACTACATCTTGATATGCAGTGCAGCAAGTAAACACTGCTTTTTGGCTAACTTGTGCTCCTTTGGGAGATCCTTTTGTCTCTCAGAAATGATACTGACCCACCCTGAAATATTGTTCGGAGGAACAGTCAGTGCATAGATATCTTCACCGAGCAGCCAAGATAATCCTTTATTCATTCCCTTCCACTAGGTCCTCTCTGTGCATGTGGTAGGGTAATTCCAGTAGGGAATTCTGAATCCTGGTGGCTTCACACTGCTTGCCCAAATATGCAAGCTTGAGCCTCAAAAATAACAATTTTTGGTTTTACATAATTGTCAATCTGGTATGTGGAGTCTCCTTTGGGCAGGCTTTCCTCTTCTCCCCCAGGATTTGTTCAGTATAACAACTTGGGTGGGATTCAATAAGCTGTACTCATTAAAACAACTGCATTGATATTAGGCTTGTAAAAGTAAGCTGCTTCTTTTTGTTGAGTTAAATACATGGCTAAGATCTTTAAAAAACAGGCTCCTGAACATTTGTTTAGCCTCCAAAATCTTATTTCTTCTGTGCTAATTTGTTTAGCCTCCAAAATCTGGTTTCCTTTGTGCTAAGGTGTGTTGCTGTCCTAGTAAGGTGGAGGTGGTGGTCAGCATTTCTTATCTGTGCTTTTGTTTCAGAATTACTGCAAGGTGAAACAGGAAGCTGCCTGGTATGGCTGATCAAAAATAACATCAGGACCTTAACTCTGTCTTGAGCTCTTGGTGGAATGGCAGTTACAGTCAGGATCATGCATCCATTCAGACTGCAAAAGGTGCAGCCCAGATGCTCGAACTGCCTCTGCGGTGGATGTTTGCAACACTGGGACACGTGCAATATTTTGGATACCAGTTGTCTTGAGTGCTCTAGTCAGAAGTGTACTAATCTCTGATATATCATTTAAATGCATCCTGTACAGAGTTCTTGAGCGCCATTGTAGAGAGGTGACCTAAGTTATTGAAATACTTGCTGGAAATCCCTAGAGATTATTTAATAGACATATAGTAACATCACCATGATGTGAATGGAGGTATGTAGTTACCATTAATAATAATGATCATTGTATCCTGTAAGCTAATGGAAACTTTTTGAATCATCTCTGAGGAATTAGCACCCTATCTCATAATGTTCTATATTATAAAGCTACCCCCAATGTTATTTCAACCTATTATCAAACTCAAATGAAGTCCACTATAAATATCTTCTGTACAACATATTTCTGGGTATGACATGCAAATTGTGTGCGTCCTCTGGGTAGTCATGAAGGGGGAGTACTATGTGCAGTATATCTCAGATGCAAGGCCCAACAGAAATTTTCTTGTGAACAAAACGTGGAGCAAACAAAAATACCTGTGATGTCCTCACATGCAAACTATCATTCTTTCAAAAGAGAGCACTTTCTTGCTTTGGTAATGAGAATAACAAAATAGGTGTTAATGAAGGCTTGAGACAGAGTATTTTGTCCGAGAATGGTATCAAATATCTGTCATTGGAAATGCTCTGAAAATATCTGTGCACTCTGAATTGCAGATGCACTTTTTCTTGGGCCAGTGCATGCTGCCAAACTATGCAGAGCACCAGTTGGAATTTTTGAACAATGTAACGTTCACTGTAGGTGTCTAATTTACAGTCTCACGTGGATGTCATGCCTAGATCACAGGCTTCTGGGAGCACTTTCTCCTCTAGATCCATAAAGTCAGAGTTCAGGAAGCAGTAAGTACAGTAGACAGTACATAAGTGACAGCAAGAGCAATTAGTGACACCCATGAGAAAAGCTTTGTTATAAATGTTGTTTAAAATAAAGTAACACGGAACAGTATCTTGCACATTGTGCAAAGCACATTTCATTACCCAGAGAAGCAAGTAACTCCTCCAGCAGCATCTTCTGCTCATTTTTTCACAGCTTTCTGAGTCAACAGCCACTTTGAGCATTTAGTCTAGTGTATCTACCTGGGGTCCTTCTGTGTGCTCCTCACCAGTCTGAGTCCTGTGGTGAGGTTCTCTGAGTTGGTAATTGCAGGAGCTATGCCTATACTCTTATCAGAGGTTATGGGCTTTCCATATAGAGCTCCTGTTAATGTTGAGGTGTCTCAAAAAACCCATGTGCACGGTTAACTCAAAAGACACTATCACCCAACAGCTGTTCTTTTGCAAGACCTTTAAGAAAGGCCATGTATAACCAGGTCTCAAAAGATGAAAAGTTACCCTGCACAATTTCCCTTTGAGCCTGTCTTCATAGATTAAACTAATCATTTTGTTTTCACAGGAGGAGCTCTGCCCTACCCTATTTTTTCATGCTGCAGTCTTGCAACTCATTGTGCTAACAAGTGCAGCCTCAGACCCAAAGTCTCCCTTTGGCTAAGGCTGCTTTGCACACAAAACTGTCATGTCTGCCACTCTGTCTCACACACATTCACATGCTCTCTGCAGTATGTGGGCGAAGATTTCCTCACTCTTTAGCATCACCAGCAGACAGCCTAGTTTAGAGTAGCCTTGTAACCAGCCAGACTGACATTAAGGCACCGGCCCAACTCAAGAGCTGTCCTAGGATCACCCTCTTCTGAGTTGCACTGTTTTCCTCAGCTTAGGGTAAGAACCTGTGTCATGGCATCTACAAGCAGCAGAGTGCCTACCTCATTTCCTCAAGTACCCATTATTTGTTAATCATTCTGTAGATACTTAGTTGGACTCCCTGTTTTCAGATCTTTTGCTTTAATAGCACATAAGGAATATTCACACAGCAGGTAGTTTAATTTCCTGTTCTCTAAAAGCCGAGCTCATTACATTTTAATTGTTACTCACATTTAAGGCTGTCTATACACATGCTTGAAGGTGGTGGGGGAGGGGGCATAGATTCATAGATAGATTCATAGATTAAGGGTCGGAAGGGACCTAGTAGATCTTCTAGCCCGACCCCCCGCCAGGGCGGGAGAACAACAAAAAACCCCAAAAAGAGAAATGGGACTCAAACGAGTCCAGCC